TATGTTCCCCCCCCCCCCCCCAGCCGCGCGCGCGCGCCCGCCGCCCCCCTCCCCCTCCCGACTTGCGCTCGCCCTCCAGGACGCCGACAAAGCCCTTGCGGATCTCGGCTGCATCTCGGCTGCATCTCGGCTGCATCTCGCCGTCCATGAAGCCGACGAAGCCCTTCGACGGGTCCTTTCTCAGAAAGGTCTCGCGAAAGCGCGAGCGGGGCCGAGCAGCTCCTAATTAATAGCTAATTAATAGTAAATTAATAGCGCGAGCGGGGCCGAGCAGCTTCGCCTGATCCAACCACCGCTGCACCTCGGCTACGTCTCGGCCGTCTCTCGGCCATCTCTCGGCTATCTCTCGCGCCTCCTCCGCCTCCTCCGCCTTCTCTGCCTCCTCCTCCTCCTCCTCCTCCTCCTCCGCCTCCTCCTCCTCCTCCTCCTCCGCCTCCGCCTCCGCCCGCCCTGCGGTCGAAGGAGGTTGCAAAGGAGGCGCCCATCGACTGGCCATACCTGCTCGCATCAGCTCCTCGCTTCACACTTCACCTCAGGCTGAGTCGCGAGGGAGAACCATGTGCAATGGCCCCGCACCCGTACCCGCTCCCTCCGCCTCCGGTGCGCGCGCCGCCGCCGCCTGCGCCGCCCGCGCCTCTCCTCGCGCCCGTCCTCGTCACGTCCCCCACGCCGCCCTGCGTGTACCAGCGCCGCGGAGGCTTCCCGGCCGGCGCGGCGGGGCCTGCCCCATTGAAACGAATTTCTCACTCGCTGATGATGGCAGCGGGCTTGCCGGCGCGGCGGAATTAAGTATAGTGTCCGGCGGGAGCGGTGGGAGGAGGCGGCCGCACCTCGGCGCGGCGGCGGCGGCAGCCCCTCGTTGCTGCGCAACTCCTGTTAGTGTCGGGGCCGCGCCGTGGACGCGTCGCGGATGCGTCGCGGAGAGGGGCGGAGGGCTATGCTGATGGCGGAGATGATGGCGCAGGGCTCGCATATGCATGTATATGGCGCTGGGCGGTGGGGGCGGCGGCGGCGGCGCCACCTCGTACGCCGCGTTGACCCGCGAAAAGTCGTCGTGGATCCGCTGTCGCAGCCGGCTGGGCGTCGAGGCGGTGACGAGGCTGTCGGGGTGGCGTGCCTGGCGCCCACAGCGGCGAGGGCTTTGCTTTGGGCGTGTCATGGAGGAGAGGCGCCGAAGGAGAAAGGAGGAAGAGAGGGCCAGAGGACAGGCGCGCCTTGGTCAGCCGGTGGTAGGCGCTTTTGATGGCCGCAATGTCGCCGGCGGAGGAGTGGTCGAGGCCGAGCAGCACGAACGGGTCCGTCGATGCCGGAAGCGGAGGCGGAATGCTGCGGGCGTTCTGCTCGCCACCGCCACCGCCGCCGTCCGCCTCGCACACGGCCGCGGAGCCCGCGCGCAAAGCGCTGGGCGGTAGGCGCCACGCGCGCGGCGGAGTGAGGCTGGAGGCGGCGAGCACGAGCCACATGAGTCAGTGTTGGGGAGACACCCGACAACAACCGGCTCAGCAGCGCGTTTTCAATTGCACGGCTTCTGCGGTTGTTGGCGCTGGCCGGCTCGGCGGTTCACGCGCGGAGAATTCTTTTGGTGCCGTGAGAGTGCCGACGATGAAAGAGAGCTCTGTAAAATTCTTCTCGGAAAATAATATCAAAGAAAGAAGTCGGGCTTCCGAAGCCCCAGCCCCAGACGGCTGAGCGTGGCTCTAAATTTCGGCTTGTGCGGCTCGCGTGTTTCTTCTTTCGAGGTGAACAGTCATCAAGCGCGCAATCAACCGCGCCAAACCTAGGTCCCATGCTCTTAACGCTCGCCGCCGCCGCGACGGCGCTCGTCTCCTTGCCTCGCGCGCCACTCGCCACCCTCCCGGTCCCGCGCGCCGCCGTCTCCATGAACGCCGACTCGTGGGAGAACGAGCTTCGGCAGGGCCTCCGCGCGGCGCAGTCAAACGGCATCGCCTTTGGCAAAGCCAGGCCGGTGCTCGGCAGTGTGGAGGGGGCGTGGGTGCTGCTCTTCAACGCGCAGCAGCCGGACGAGGGCGTCTACACGCTCCAGGGCGGCGCCGGGTTCGCCACCGGCCGCGCCGGCGCCGGTCCCGGCCGGCGGACCTACCTCGTCGGCTTTAGCGAGAAGGACGACGCCGAGAGCTTTGTCGCCCTTCTCGAGGCGCGGGCGCTGGCCCCGAGAGCGTTCACCCGCGCCGAGAGGGCCGCATCATCGACGAGCACCCCCCCCCCCACCCTCAGGCGGAGACCTTCGACGTCGCCTCCCCGTCGCTGTGGAGCTCGCCGCAGCTGCAGCAGTTTTGCGACGCGGCAAACTTCGACCTCGCGCTGGTTCCGGCGGGGGCGATGCTCTTCCCGCCCTCCCAGAACGTGTACGACCACGCCGCCTTCGAGGAGGCGGGCCTAGGCCCACCTCCGGGCAGCCGCATCGGTATGGAGGGCCCTCCGAGGTGCGTGGGAGATGCGAGAGAGACAGGGCAGAGACAGGGCCTCTCCCAGCAGCCGCCGCCGCCGCCAGCCGCCGCCGCCCCAGACACCCGCCGAGACACTCCCGAGACCGCTCCTGCAGCCAGACTCCCCTTGCTCAAGCGTGGCAGTCGCGGGGCAGACTCCCCTCGCCCCCTCTGCCCTCGCCCGCCCACCCAGCCCTTCGCCCCTCCCCCCCGCCTCTCCCCCTCGGCCCTCCCCCTCAAGCTCGCCCTTCCCCCCGCCGACCAGGTCGCCCGAGTGGAGTGCGGAGGAGCGCGCCCGCAAGCGATCGCGCAGAGAGAGCGAGGAGGCGGCGCGGCTCGAGAAGCTAAGGCAGCAGCTCGAGGCGCGCTGGGAGGGGGAGGACGCCTGATCTCGGACAATCTCGGACGATCTCGGCGGGGCCGCGGGAGGAAGAGGAGGGGGAGGAGGACCGACGGCGCGGCCCGGTCGTCCACACGCCGGCCGGCTTTGGAGGAGGCGACGGCTGCGCCACCCCGCCTCCCTCCCTCGGCCCAATGTCCCTCCCTGGCAGCGGCGGCCGGCGTGCTATTCCTGGCGTGGCTGGGCGGGGCGGGGCTCAGAGGGGCCCGCTTGCGGAGGGCGGCCCCCTTCCTGGGCGCCGCGGACGGGAGCGTAAGGGGCGGGCAGGGGCGGAAGGTCAGTCGGAGTGAGGGGCGGGGGAGTCTGGGCCATGTTGGAGAGTGGAGAACCGGGAAGCTGCCGGGGGGGTGCTGCCGCCACGAGCGTGCGTGTCAGACGTGTGAGGCGAAGGCTAACATCTCTTTGTCGTTCATATTTCATGCAAATTGTTGACATACCAACACAGAAAACGCACAAGAGTGAACGCAAGTCGCAAGAGCACCCGCAGGGTCGTGAGGTGGCAGATGGCCCACCGGTTCGTGTGATTTCAGTTTTCACCGCAATATAAGCAATAAGGAAACAGCGAATGCCGAATCGATTTCACTTTCACTTTCACTTCACATTTCATGAGAGAGAGAGATTTTTGAAGACCAACAAGAAATCACGACTCTCACAGAGATTTGGGCTCGGCAGGCTTGTTAGCCCTCAGCCGAAGCTGGGGCCCCGGTCCCGTAGCCGAGAGAGCCCGCGCCGATGAGTTCGACGCGGTCGGGGGGCCTTGCGGAGAGGCCAGCGAGGTGGCGATCGCTGTACTTCATGGTGCCCTCGGTGGGGCGGCTGACAAGCCAGAGGTCGATACTCTCGCCGCATCCGCCCGCCCCTCCGCCCTTCTCGCCGTCGCCACCGTCGCCGCCACCCCTTGCACCGGGCGGCCTCACCGGCGATCCCCACCTGCACTTTGCAGACGGCGGTGAGGCCGACTTCCGCGGTGAAGACGGTAGCGCCTACGCGATGCTTCACCACACCGGCCTAGCCGTCAACGCTCTGTTTGAGGCGTGTGCCTTCTTCCTCACGTCGCCGGAGAACCTCAAGGTCAGGGGCACCTTTGTCACGGACGTCTTCATCAAAGCCGTCACCGATATCACCGGTCGCACCGTGCGCGTCGAGTTCTCGCCCAACGCGCCGCCGACGCCACTCGTCCACGGCCTCGAGGGCGGCATCCGGCGCGTGCTCCCCGACGAAGCGCCCCTCGTCACGGAAGACCTCTCCATCGCTTTGAGAAAGAATGGCAGCACTGAGGTGCTGCACGTGCGCACCAGTCGCTGGGCCGTCGAAGCGGCTGCGCGCTACATCGTGCGCTCCGCCATCACCTTCAAGAAGCAGCTCGACCTCTCGTTCAAGCCGCTGAGAGACCCACTCGCACCCAACCCCAAAACGGGCGAGGTTGTGGCTCCGCACGGCCTGGTAGGCCAGTCCTTTGACGGCGACGGCATCGCGGTCGATGGCAAGAAGGACCAATGTGCGCGCCCCTCGCTCTAGCTACCCCTCGCCCCCGGCCGTTTTGACGCGCAGCTTGCTGTGCACTGCAGACCGAGAGCTGTGGTGGCGGCAGACCTCCTTCAAGGCCAACGAAATCACGACTGAGGCGCAAGCCGAAGGCGCGATCGAGGGCTCCGGTGACGACTACAAGGTGGCGGACTTATTCAGCACCGACTTCAAATACAGCCGCTTCGCCGCTCGCAAGGCGCCGACGCGCAACATCTCAGCGCTCTCAGGCGTCAAGCGTGTACTGGCGAACGCTGGACGCGCCGCTTGGAAGAGCAGCATGGCGGGAGCGTTTGCCGACAACTCATGGGAGGCTGGACGTGGAGTAGCAGCCCAAGCTCGCGCATTTCCTCGCTCAAGACCCGGGTCCTGAGGGGATTTGTGGAGGAGGAGTGAGGGGTGTGGGTGGCTTACACGAGACTTCAGCCAAGCCCGCGGCGCCCAGCCAGCAGTCAAGTTAGCCGCCAAAGCGACGGCGAAGTGTCAGCGACGGACGACCAAGTGATCTGTACTGCATGAGCATGTGTGTACTGTTGTACGAGAGTGTTGTACGTTACGCGGCTTGTTGTATGCTGACTCACAGCCCTATGGTCCGACACATCTAAAGTGAAAGGGTGGGGTAGGGGAGGGAGTAAAGCTGTACTCTTGAGGGAAACATTGGACCGTCAGGCCCCGGGCGGGGATTGGCCAGCCCCTGGCCGAAACGTTTCATGTGAAATTCACATGAATTCACAATCACATGTGAAAGTGAAAGGGTGAAATTTCACTCACGAACCCTGAGAACCCCCCCCCAAACCCCCCGGCGGGGCCGGGCAAGGCCAAGCCTCTAAGGGGGCCAACGCCCGAGAGCGTGAGCCGTGTCCTGTGTCCAAACCGTGCGAGCGAGACCCCCCGAGACGCGAGAGCCGAGACCCGCACGGGCCACGGGGCTCGGGGGGCCCCTCGCAGCCCTCTCTCGCTCCGCTCTCGGCCTCGCCGGCACGCGACGGCCGCCGACGCGGCGTGGGCCGCGACCCGCCGAGCCGCGTGCCGTGTGCGCGGGTGCCGGGGGTGGACCCACTCACGCGCCGCAAAAGTGGGAGACGCCGCCGGCAGGCGGGCACACACCACAGCTCGACGGCTGTAGTGTTAGTGTAGGGTAATATAGAGGTACACACCGCGCACGTAGTGCGTATCGCTGCCGGCACAGATCGAGAGACGTCGGGTCGTCGGGGAAATGGGCTGCTGCGTGCTCGGCCCACCCGCCACCGGGCCCGCGTCGTGGCTACGCCGTCGGCAAGACCGATCGCGCGGGAGGAGTGCAAGCGCGCTAGAAGCCAGACGCAAAGGTTTCGCGGACGCGAGCCAGGAAGGCGGCGCGCTCCTACCGAAATCACCCGAGATCACCCGAGATGGCGGCAGATCATCTGAGATTTACCACCCGGACCGGCCGAGAGACCGTGCCGAGGTCGACAGAGAGTGCTGGGCGAGGGGAGGGTCGGCGCTCTCGCCTGCCCGCTGGTCGAGTCGATCGCGTAGAGCCCGAGCCAGAGGCAGGTGCAGTCAGGCGCAAAGGCCCCGTGCCGGATGGCGGTGGCGATGCAGTTGCGGCCGTTGTCGCCCGCCAGGAAGGCGATGTGCTGCGGCGCTCCGTACGTGGAGACGGCGGCGACGCGCTTCACGTTGGTCAGTAGCGGCCTGAGCCCGGTGCTGCTCGCGCCCTCGCCCGCCGCGTCGCAGCCGGTCGGAGGGAACTCCCACGCGCCGATTGCACCTGCCGTGCTGCTGCCTGGCTGGAAGGTGCGATCGAAGAAGCCCTTGAGGGCAGCGGGCACGTTGAACCACCATGTCGGGTACACAAAGACGACCGAGTCGCACCACGAGAGGTCCGTCAGGGCGCGCCGCACGTCGCTCGCTAGCCGCTCGGGACGCGTCGTCTCAAAGTAGGCGGCGCGCTCGCTCGCCGTCAGCTTGACGCCATAGTTCTGGTCGTAGAGCGAGATCCTGCGCAGCTCGTGGCCACCCGCCCTGGCTCCCTCCTCCACCGCCGCCGCGAGCGCCGACGAGTACGACGAGGCGAGCGGGTGAGCGTGCACGAGCAGCATCTTTCGCTTCGGCGAGCCGTCCTCGGGCGGCGGAGGCGGGACGTGCGAGGTGATGCCGTTGAGCTTGGTGGCGAGCCAGCGACTCGCGGGGTTCCAGAGGAGAGAGGATGGCATGTTGTTACAGTGGGGGGGGGTGGGGGGGGGTGTCCGGGAGGGTTGACGCGGCGCCCCGCTAGGCACCCCCCCTCTCTCTACCTTGTTCGTCATTGATCTGGTTCAGCGCCGTTCTCCTTACTGTGCCGTACGAAAGTGTGAACAGGTTGGAGCAGCAGCTCCTGAGCACGGCGCCGCAGGCGCCTGTTTGTTGATAGGTCCAGGTGATAAGCCCTGGATGGGCAATGCATACGCCTAGTCGGGCCTCAGATCGCCCGACCGCGTCCCGGTGCTCTGTGGTCGGATTTGTGACGCCGCTGCACCGCCCCGCGGCCGGGGGCCCTCCGAGGCCGAGGATGGCCGTGGCGGACCGGGACGAGCTCTGGGAGGAAGGTGTCAGTGAGTATATTGTAGAGACTGACCCACAATATCTCTAAGTCTAGCTAAGCCAGGGGAGGCGATGCCGGGGCCGTACAGCAGCTTGATGGTGCTTCGCCGGCGTGCCGTCCCGGAGCGCCGGTGCCGGACGGACGGTCCGTGGCACCGTGGCAAAATCGGGGAACTCCAACGTTTTTTTCTCAAGAGTCACGGCTGCCACCACAAACAACTCCAACGTTTGAAATACTTACGCGGCCTCCTCCTCGCACCCCCGCTTGGTTCCTCCAGCCGCGAAATGGCCCTTTCGGCCTGGCTGAACGGGGTGACATGTCGTAACATGTTCACATCTTTCTCGCAACATGACACAACCCGAGAGATCACAACCCGTGATCCGGCATGACCGCATGCCTCGACATGGCGACGGGCCGAATTTGTTTTTGCCGAATATGTGCGGCCATGCGAGGCATTGGGAGCGGCATGCATGTCAAGAAGAAGACTCTCTCTCTGCATGTCGAGAATGCACATGCATGAACCGTGTCCAGCGTGCAGAAAGTCGTCCGGACACTCCAAATACTCAATTCTGGAGGCTCCTCTGAAAGGAATTCACGCCGGGATCTCCCACCCACCGGCTTCTTCTCGAAAAGAAAAATCTTGGCCTGCCGCGAAATGGCCCTTTCGGCCTGCTTCACCGCCGCCTCGCGACGGCTGACGAGACAATGCGCCCTGCCTTTGCCGCTACGGCGGCACCTCTGCTCCTCGAGTGACGACGACATCCCCGGCCTCCGCCGCAACGCCTTCCGAAAGCCACCGGCGGACGGCGCCGTCGGCCCAGCCGCAAAGCGCAAGATTCTGGCACGCCAGAAGGCGATAGCGCTCGAGACGGCGCCGAAGACGGGTCCGATTGCGAGGGTCGCGCAGGTCTCGCTCCGGGTCGGTGCGCGGGAAGCTCTCGTCGACGATTACGTCGCGAGCGCCAAGTCTGCCTACGAGGCGCCGGCCGCCGCTCCGTGTACTTTGTTTATGGCGCTCTTGCGGCCTGTCGACGCGCCGCTCGCCCCGCCTGCCCCGTGCGCAGGGCCAGCCGGGCTTCCTCGGGGCTCTCCTCCTCTTCGACGGCCAGACGCGCGCGCAGTCGATCACTCTGTGGGAAAAGGAGGCGGGCCTGCGCCTCTCTCGCTCCTCGCGAGCCCCTCTCACAGTCCGGTCGCAGTCACGCCAGCAAGGATGGCCCGCCGTGGTCCAGTGTTGAGTCACGAGTGTCCAATCCCAGCCTCACGAGAGGAGAAGACCGAACAACGAGCGAGAGCGAACGAGCGAGAGAGGGAGGGAGCGAGGTGTGGCATGTCGGTCACTCAGGCCGACCCGCCCGTGCCTCTCTCTGCCCAGGAGTCGCTCGACGCCGCGGTGGGCACAGAGCGCTACGGCGCCTCCAGTGCCAGGTCGCCCAGCCTTGCAGGCGACACGTCCATGACGCGTCCGTGACGCCTCTCAGGCTCGGCCATGCAAAAGCTGGGCGCACGCGCAGCCCGTCACACGCCTGGTGGCGGCGGGCACTCGAACCACAAGCAGCATTGGAGTTAGGCTCCCACTTTGCCGAGCCCCCCGAGACACGGACTTGGGAGCTGGGTGCCGCCGCTGTCGTGTGCCCCAAACTCGAGGCTTTAGGAGCGAGACGAGCGGCGCGTCGGGTGAGCGGTAGGCGCGGCCACCTTTGTGCCCATGCAAGGCGGCCCCTCCATCTCCGTCGTGCAGCGATCGGTGTGCCGAGAGCAGCGCCCGAGAGAACCCGCGGACCGTCTGCCCGCCTCTGGCCACGCCCGCCTCTGGCCGTGGAGATGCGGGGGAGAGCCCGGCCATTGCCCCACATCCAATCCCGCGGTGCGGAGGAGTGGACGCTGTTTTGCCTTGCCTTGCCCGCCTCTCTCGCAGGTGCGGCCAACGTCGGTGCAGACGACCACCGTCGAGATGGAGGCGCGAGAGTGAGTGTGGGGATGGGGCGCGAGAGTGAGAGTGGGGGTTGCGAGAGTGCACGAGCGCCGTCGAGATGTCCCCTGGGGGGGGGGGGGGGGGCTCTTTGCTCTTGCCCTACGCCGTGTCTGCGTCAGTCCTCGAGTGTTGTACAAGTTGTCCCGCGTGCGTGGAGCTCCGTGGATGTGTGTTTGCATACGGCTTTCGCTTGCACGGGCCTTGGCCAGCGGGGGCGGCCGCGCTGTTAAAAGCGTTCAGTTATGAAGGAAAAATATAGAAAACGAGCGTTTTTTGAAGAGTTGCCGCAGCCGCGCAAAGAAAGAATAAAACGGGCCCAAGCAAGGGAGGATCATTGGAGGACGAGGGTCGAGGCACGGCGCCGCCACCAAGAGAGAGAAAACAGAAAAGAGAAAACTTCGCACCGGTTTCGCTGTGGATTTTAAGAGGTGTTGCGCGCGCGGCGCCGCGCGCCTTGGGGGATAAATAAATAAACAAAAAGTCGTAGAAAATCCAAAATCCAAATCGCAAACATAGAAACCCAAACACACACAGCCACGTGGCATAGGAGAGCAGGGGCCGACGGTCGCGGCGCGCCGGCGCGGCGCAGCGGACGCAGCCCGGTTCGCAGCTTCGCGAGCTACGGGGGCGGCCACAGCACGGCCCGGTGGCCGCCCCCGCAATGAGGCCAAGCGGTGGGCGTCCGGCAAAAGCCGCAAGACGGGATTCGCGAAGGCGCGGGCCACCTTCCGCGGCGGAGGCCTTGGCTGGCGGCGGCGGCTGGGGAGAGGCACGACAGCATGATGACAAAAGCACGCTGGTGGGGCACCGAGGCAATCGCAAGGGAGACCCCAGGGCCAGGCCCAGCGGGCTCTTTCTTTCTTTGTCGGTAGCATCCGATGCCGCAACGCAAACGACGCCGAGCACCACGGCAAGTTCCAGGTGTGGCTCCAGCAGGCAGCTTCCAAGGCAAGGGGGGCCCAGCGCGACGGGTGCGGCAACAAAACAGAGCGGCGAGCAAACAACAAATTGGTATTGCTAAAAATGTCTCTCTCTCCCAAACGAGGGGTGGGAGAAGGACAGGCACAGGGTCCCCACCTGCGCGAGCAGGATATTGTAAGGACGATCAGGGACACCGGGGAACGGGAGCGGGGAGCGCATCGCGACACGGAGGGGGGCTATGGTTCACCCACACGACAGGGTCGCCTCGTGAATAAACGAGTATAAACGGTCACACCAAACGAAATAAATAGCCACAGCGCTTTTTTCTCGACGCCGCCGGTACAGAGAGACGAGGGCAGCCGGTTGCTGAAGAAGGGGCGCTCCAAATGGCGGAGCCCGACCCCCCGCGTGAGGAGGCTGGGCCGGAGTTCGCTCGCGGCCTCTTCGATTCGCTTGTACTCGGCACCCGGCTCGGCAACGAGCTCCCTACCGCCGAGCAGCGCGGCTACGCCGAAACCTTTCCGCCCTTCAACCAAGCGATGGCTCTGTCGGGTGGGCAGCTAAGCGGGATGATCTCTGGCTTCATGGGGCAGCAGGCGCAGCAGGCCGCCGCCGAGCGCTTCGGCCAGCTCGAGGACGCTTCCGACCGCTTCGAGTCAGTCGTCGGCCTCTCGGACCGGCTCCTCGAGCGGGTGGACTCGGACCTGGACGCGGCGCGAGGGCTGAAGAACCACGCGGTGGTTGACGCGGCGGGGGCGGGGGGCGGCGGCGGCGGCGCCCTCTCCTGCACCGCATCCGCCGCTTCCGCGCCGCAGCAGCAGACGCCGGCGCGCCGGCCGGCGGCGGCGAGCGCGATGTCGGCCGGCTCGGCAGCGAGGCCGCAGATGCGGTGGAGGGGGGAGGTGGACAACTCGGACGAGCCCTTCCTCCCGAAGCTGCGCGCCAAGCCGAACGCCCTCGTCCCCCTCCAGCTCGTCCTCACCTCGCCACAGGAGGAGGACGACGAGCCGGGCGGCGGCGGCGGCGGCGGCGGCGGCAGGCGGCGGCGGGCGGCGCCGCACTACGCGAATCCGTACGAGCACGAGCTGGCGGACTTCCAGCCGGACGAGGCGCAGCTCTCTCCTCCGGCGGCGGAGCGGCTCTACGCCGCGCTGCAGCACACGCCCTGCCACTGGGTGGGCTGAGGAGGGGACAAGAGGCGCGCGCGCGCGTCCAGAGAAGCTCACGCGGCGTGGCACCCGTGCTCAGGTTGACTCGGAGGAGGGGCTGGGTCGGATGCGCGAGCGGCTCACCGCCGCGCGCGAGATCGCCGTCGACCTCGAGTCGCACTCCTACCGCTCCTACCGCGGCTTCGTCTGCCTGATGCAGGTCTCGACCCGCGAGGAGGACTACTTGGTGCGCCGCTCGCACCGGCCTGGGAACAGGAGGGGGGCGGGGGGAGGGGGGGGGGGAGGGAGAGGCGCCGCTCACCGCGGTGCGTCGCGAGCAGGTCGACACGCTCGAGCTGCGGGGCGCGCTCCACTCGCTCAACGACGTCTTCACCGACCCGCGCGTCACCAAGGCGCCGCACGACCCGCGCCAGACTGGGCTCTTGAGACGAGACTCCCTCGAGACTGGAGTCGACTCCTCAGAGACAGGCCGGGGGTGGAAGCCCCGAGGGACTCCCGCACCGAGGGCCGGCCGTCGCTCACTCCCCGGCGTGGCTGGTTGGGCCAGGTGCTGCACGGGTGCGATTCGGACGTGCTCTGGCTGCAAAGGGACTTTGGCCTCTACCTCGTCGGCGTCTTTGACACGGGCCAGGCGGCAAGGGTGCTCGAGTTCCCTTCCTTCTCGCTCGCGCATCTGCTCAAGTCGTACTGCGGCGTCACGGCAAGCCAGCCCTGCCGACGGGGGCGTGCGCCGCCTCTCCCCACAAGTCTCGCGGTGGCTTGCAGGCGAACAAGACGTACCAGATGGCCGACTGGCGCCTCCGCCCTCTCACCGCCGAGATGATCACGTACGCGCGCGAGGACACGCACTACCTGCTCTACATCTACGACCAGCTCAAGCGAGACGTAGCCGAGACGCAGCCGAGATGTAGCCGAGACGTAGCCGAGACGTAGCCGAGGAGTAGCCGAGACACGCATTACCACCGCTGCATGACCCCAGCTCAAGCGCCGCGAGCCGCGAGGCCGCTCCGCTCCGAGGGCGCCCTCTTCACAGCGTCGAGGTGTGAACAGGTCCGAGCTCGAGGCGTGCCAGCGATCGGCCGCCGTGTGGCAGCGCTCCGCCGAGCTGTGCCGCCAGGCCTACCACACCGTCCCGTACTCTCCCTCGGACCACCTGACGCTGCTGCGCCGCCAGAACGCGTCGACGCTGACGGCGCCGCAGCTGGCGGTTCACCGCGCGCTCTTTGGGTGGCGGGACGGGCTTGCGCGCTCGGAGGACGAGAGCTGCGCGTACGTGCTGCCCAACCACATCCTCCTCAAGCTCGCCCAGGCGTGCCGCCCCCACCCACCCACCCACACACACACGCGCGCGCGCACACACACACACACAGACACACCCACCCACAGACGGGCCCCTTGCGCTCCTCCTCTCCCCTCGCCTCGCTTCTCTCCCCCTCGCCTCACGCCCTCCCCCTCCGCCCCCCGCACACACAGGCGGTGCCGCGGACCGCCGAGCAGCTCCGGCTCCTCTGCCACCCGCTGCCTCCCCTCCTCAACTACCACACTCCTTCCCTCCTCGAGACCATCGCAGCCGCCGCCGACGGCACCGCCGCCGCCGCGCCGGACGCCGCCGCCACCGCCGCTGCGCCCTCCGCCGCGCCGCCGCGCGCGCAGTACCCGCAGCCGCCACAGCCGCTGCCGTCCGCGCCCGCGATGCCGAGTGGCGGTTCAGGCGGGTACGGAGGCGGCGCTGGCTGGCCTCCGATGCACCCGATGCAGCCGTCTCTTGGCAGCATGCAGCAGCAGCAGCAGCAGCAGCAGCAGGCGCAGGCGCAGGCGCAGCAGCTCCAGCAGCAGGTCCAGCAGCAGCAGATGCAGCAGCTGCAGCAGCAGCAGCAGCAGTGGCAGCAGCAGCAGCAGGCGCAGGCGCAGCTGCAGCAGCAGCAGCAGGCGCAGCTGCAGCAGCAGCAGCAACAACAGCAGCAGCAGCAGCAGCAGGCGCAGCAGCGGGCACGGGCGCACAGCGGCCCCGTCCCGTCCCAGAAGCTGACCGCCGCGCCGACCGCCGCCTCCGCCTCCGCCTCCGGCGCCGCCACGAGCGTGCGCAAGCCTCCGTCGCCGTCGCGTTCGCCTCCGATGAACGTGGACCGCTTGTACGATTGCGCGGGCTGGGTCAGCCGCGGGGCCGACGAGGTTGCGCGCCATATACCGCACACGCAGAGACGCTCGCACAGAGGCGCACACACCGCTCGCCACGCGCGCACTGGGGGCCTTGCACTTTGAATGCCGTGGGGCTCCCGTCGTTGGACGTGGAGTCGCGAGGGCTGCCTCCCCCCTTGCCCCACCGCCGCACATGCTGCATGCACATGCACATGCGCATGCACATGCACACGCACATGTGCATGTGCATGCATGCGCATGTTGTGCATGTTGTTGTGCATGTCATGTGGAGGTGTCACCTCTTCTTTAGGTTGCGCGCTCGCTGTTGCCTGCGCCGTCGGCGGGGCGGGCGGGCGGCGGCGGCGACGCGGGCGGCGGCTTGTTCGACGGCTGGTCGAGCGGCGCGTCGTCGGACGAGGAGGAGGAGGCGGCGACGGCGCAGGGCGTGCAGGCGCAGCTCTCCGTCTCACCCCTCTGGGTGCTCGACATGTTCGCGCCTCCCGCGCGGGCTGACGCGCCCGGCGCCGCTGCGGAGGGCGGTGGTGGAGAGGCGGCCGGTCAGCGCGGCGGCGGCGCGGGGCGGCTGGGCGGTGCCCCCCGCTCGCTCAACGAGATTTACAAGCTCTCGAACCTCAACAAGCGGCGCGGCGCCGGCGGCGGCAAGAAGGCGGCGGCGGGCGGCGGCGAGGGTGGCGGCGACTCAGGGCACGAGCCGGGGCGAGGAGGCTACCCGAGATTACCCGAGATTGAGCCCGAGAGTAGGCGACCCCGAGCAGGAGCCGGGCGAGGAGTCCGCGGAGGAGGGGGGCGGCGAGGAGGGGGAGGAAGGGAAGCGGCGCAAGAAGGGCGCCGCCGCCCCCTCCGACCTCGCCTCGCCGCCGCGCGAGGGCACCGACGAGTTCATGCGCCGCATCGGCTGGCTCGGCCCAGGCGCGACGATGCCGGGCGGCGACGGCGGCGGCGGGGAGCGGGGCGCGCGAACTTCGGGCGGCATGGAGCCCGCGCTCCACGGAGGCCACGGCGGAGGCCACGGCGGTGTCCTCGGTGGCGCGCACGGAGAGTACGGCGGCCGCGGCGGGGGCGATCTGCTTCCGTACCAGCGGCAGCAGCAGATGCCGATGGCGGGAGGCGGCGGGGCCCTCCCCGCGCACCTCTCGATGGGGTCGCACCCGGGTCAGGCGCTGGGTGGGTCGCAGGAGCAGCGGCAGCAGCAGCAGCAGTGGCAGCAGATGCAGCAGCAACGGATCCAGCAGCAGCAGCAGCAGCAAATGCAGCAGCAGCAGCAGCAACAACAGCAACAGCACGGAATGGTGCCGCCGCAACAGCAGTTCATGCAGGGGCAGGGGCAGGGGCAGCAGCCCATGCAGCAGGGGGCGGGCCAGCCGCAGCAACGTCGCGCCAACCGCCACAAGAAGCGCACCGGCTTTGGCGGCGAGGGGCAGTACGACGCCGCCGTCTCGCCGCACGCCTTTGTCTACTCGATGGGTCAGCAAGGCATGGCCCCCGGCCCGCAAGGCAAGGGCGGCGGAGGCAAGGGCGGCGGAGGCAAGGGCGGGCCGACGGGGCCGCCGCACTACGGCGGGCGCGGCGGCGGTGGCGGGCCGAGACGCGACGCGGGCGGCGGCGGCCGGAGCATGAGCTTTGCTCCGCCCGGCGGGCGGCGGTACTGAGGGCGGCGCAGCCGGGCCGGGGGTCTGGGGGTTGGGGTTGGAGGGGGGGTCGGGGGGTCTGCTGTGTGCGAGCGCGTCCGTCCGGGATATGGGGCGTGCTGGGCCCGCGGGGCCGCGGGATGGCAAGTGTACCTGTGGGCGCCTGGGGGTTGGGAGGATATGCTTGTGCTAGCACTTCCCATGCGCTATACCACGGTCGCCGGGTCGGCGCGCGTGCGACACGTGCGAGAACCACATGTTGCTTTACCCCGCTTGATATTATCGATAAGTTTATCGATCGCAGCAGCCACCACAGGCACAGCCTTCACACGTCTATCTCTGTGTACCGTACGTTGCGCGTAAACCTAAGACAGACACACCACACGAAGAGATGAAAGAGGCAGGAACACGTATCGCCTCTCCCGAGACGTAGAGTACAAAGGACGTAGAATGTCGCCGGGCATGCATCCGCTCCTCACTGGGCGCTGCTCGAAGAGCGCACTGCCGGACTGACATCGATCTCGATGCGAGCACGACTGTCTAGCTCTCCTTCTTCGACCGCTTGGGGTAGCGCGGGGCGTCAAGGTCCACGACCTCCGCGTCGACGTCCACCGAGCGCTTGCGGAGCTCAGCGTCGCGCTCCTCTCGCGACTTGCTGCCCGTGACCTCCACTTCTGGTGACGCTGGCCCCGACACTGGCCCCGACACTGATGACGCTGGCCCCGACACTGGTGACGCTGGCTCCGGCAGCTGCAGCGGCTCGCTGGACGGCGAATGAGCACCCCAGCCGTGGATGTTCCTCACGCTGACCTTGGCGCGGTAGGTCACACCCTCGGACAGCCCCTTGACGAGAGCAAACCCGACGCCTGCCCGGAAGGCCACGCCCGGCTTGAGAGTCGATGACGCGGCGTCCACAGTCTGCCACGCGCCTCCGACGCCGACATAAACCGTCACAGATTCATGTGCCGGTGCGCCCGGTCGGACTGGCGGCGGCGAGAAGTGCACGCGCAAGCTCGTCGAGTCCACCGCCTCGAGAAGCGGTGCGGCAGAGGCGATCGGCTTGAATGCCGCCGCGCCGAGGGTAAGCGGCTCGCTGACGGGGGAGAAGGCACCCCAGCCGCAGGCATTCTTCACATTGACCTGGGCGCGGTAGCTCAGACCCTCTGCCAGCCCCTTGACGAGAGCAACCCGCGAGTCTGCCCAGTGGGCCGTGCCAGAGCCATTCGAAGATATGAGAGTTGACGACGTGGCGTCCACAGCCTGCCACGCTCCGTCGCCGGCCTTGACATGAACCGTCACAGATTCATGTGCCGGTGCGCCCGGTCGGACTGGCGGCGGCGAGAAGTGCACGCGCAGGCTCGTCTTGTCAACCGCCTCGAGAAGCGGTGCGGCGGGAGCTGTCGGCCTGAGTGCCGCCGCGCCGAGGGTAAGCGGCTCGCTGACGGGGGAGAAGGCACCCCAGCCGCAGGCATTCTTCGCATTGACCATGGCGCGGTAGGTCAGACCTTCCACCAGCCCCTTCACGAGAGCAACCCGCGAGTCTGCCCGGTGGGCCGTGCCAGAGCCATCCGCAGAAAAGGGAGTTGACGACGTGGCGTCCACAGCTTGCCACGCTCCGTCGCCGGCCTTGACATGAACGGTCACGTTGCCATGTGCCGATGCGCCCGGCCGGACTGGCGGCAGCGAGAAGTGCACTCGCAGGCTCGTCTTGTCAAAAGCCTCGAGAAGTGGTGCGGCGGGAGCAGTCGGAAGGAGGGAGGCCAGCGTCAGCGACTTTCTGGCGGGCGAGTCGGGGCCCCAGCCAGACTGGTTCCCGAGGCGGACGCGCGCGACGTACGTGGCCTTCGGGTCGACGCCCTTGACCACGCAGCTCGTCGTTTTGAGCGGCAGCGGCAGAGCGTCCGGCTGGTCCAGCTTTCCTGACACAGCATCGACCCGCAGCCACCGCGACGAGCCCTCGGCTCGCAGGCTGACGGCGGCAAAACTCTGTGGCTTGGCGACCGCCTTGCGGCACCACCCACGCGACACGGATCGAGTCCTCGCTGGCGGCCTGAAGCGTCGGCGCGATCGCAGCCGGAGGAGGAGGCATGGCTGGAGGGTTAGCCAGGTGAGGGTCCCTCGGCCAGTTTCGGGGGGCAAACCCTGCGAGTCGGCGATATGCGGTGGAGGCCACGGGATGCTGACCATCCCCCCCTGTGCTGAGAGTGCCTCGACCAGACGGACGGCATCTGTGCGCCCTGCTGGGAAGAGGGCTGCTAGGCTGTGGCACCACCGTGCCCCGCCGAGGGTGGAACGGGGGGCAATGCCCCCTTTGGACCACTCCTCGCCACCACGCATGCTGGGATAGACCGCGAGGGGGGGAGGTGGCTGCGAACAGAGAGGCGAGCCCTGGGGGAGGGTGGAGGGTGCGCATCCAGAGCGAGCGCGCGGGGTGAGACTCATTGGGCGTGTTCTAATCCGTGTTTGGGTCGTGTGTCCGGCAACCCGGTTGCGGGGTACTCCCCCACGGGTGGTACACGATGAAAAGCAAACGGATTTACCCCTGGTGCACACCCAGAGGCAGGCAGCTTGAGCTTCGCAGCGACACCCCGCTTCTCAACTACTCTTCAGCGGCTCCCGGTTGCTAGCACCGTCGTCGTCGGGGGGCGTGCTCTGCAGCAGCCGCAACCGCTTGTGCGCCTTGAGACACAGCTTGCGGAACCTATCAGTCACGACTGGCATCACTCTCACGCACCCCAACCCGTCCTTGGGCCACGACGTGCGGGTACCAGGCGAGATTGAGCAAGTAGCCCGCCGCCACCAGCAGCGGCGTGGCCTGGTAGGGCGAAATGGCGTGCGCCGACGCGAAAACGTGATCATCGCGTGACAAAAAGTGGTAGAGTCCAAAGCCTATCGCGAGGCTCGCGAGGTGCTAAAGGGGGCGTGAGATGAGAGAAGGGGAGGGGGGGGGGGGAGGGGGAGGCAACGGGCAGAAGGGAGGGGAGGGCGGGGTGCCGTAGACGACGACGCGCAGCACGAAAAAGGAGAGCAGAAAAAGCACGTCGAGCCTAGAGGATGGGTGAAGGCAGTCGGACCGTCGTGAACGAATACGATGGCACGACTGAGAGACGGTTGTCAGTATTTCGGCATCTTGAACGTCAAGCCGGTCGACGAGCGCCTGCGGCGCCTCCACGGCGACCGCAAACCTATCAGAATTAGCATAGTGGCCAGCGTCTCTTCTCAAGTGGCTGCCCCCGCGGCGAGCACATACCAGCGAAGCAGCAGCGGGATGGTGGAGCCTGCAAGGCATCAACAGGGTGTGGAGACGGATAGGTGTGAGGTGAGATGAGCGGCAACGGCGGGGCCCTCGGATAGGATGAGCCAGCAGTAGACGTAGCACCCCTTCTCGTAGGCGAGCTGCAGCGCCATCACCCCAAGGAAGACCCCATGGTGCGCCACCATATCGCGCGGCAGCGGCGCCACCTGGGTGGTGTAGGGAGTAAAGGTACGTATGCTCTGCACGCGTGCATCTTACGCCCTGGGACAGGCAGAAGTCCCACGGTGTTCAGCGTGCAGGGCCCAGTGCGCGTGGGTGAACGGAGAGCGCCGAGTGCCACCTTGTCCGCCGCCAGCCGCAGGTCCTCCCACAGGTCTTGCAGGATGTAACCTAGTGCAACACACATTTTCGTGTTGACTCGCCGCTGGTTGTGTTCACTGTCTTCTCAGCTCTAGAGTCTTGCACCTGTGAAGGAGGCTGGCCAGACCATCGACGCCGAGTGCCACAAGCTTGGGCAGTTATACCTCCCATCGTCGTCACACGCATGGTAGATGGGAAAGTACACCATCCTACATAGTAGTCTGCCGCGTGAGTGTGACGACGGCCTTGTGGCGCCAAGAGTGACTGTGTGACTTGCTGGCTCGTAAGGGAGAGTGCGTCGGGAAGGCTCGACATTCCACCTCGGGTCGAGCTCTGCATATCTGTTGCGTGTTGGACGGCGCACCCTGTCAATGTGCCAAGAATGGCGTGCAGCAGCGCGGCGACGTTCTTTGGGAACTTTGCTCTACTGGCCGAGGTACAGCGGCGGGAGAGCTGGCGGAGCGGGGCCGATCGGCGCAGCAGCATGCGGCTCAGCGTCCGCCATGCCGCCGCCCACAGAAGGGAGAGGAGAGCAAACGCGAACCAGTTCCAGCCAGGCAAATGGGGGGCGAGGGGCTCCGGCATCGTAGGCGGGCAACGTGCGGCCTCGCACCGTGACGGTGCAGGCAGGAGGCTCCTCTGGCGCTGCTCCACCTGTGGGCGGGTTTGAGGTGGGATCAGTACCGATTGGCTGGCGGTTTGTGAAGGACGCTGGCGGAGCCAAGGTGGCGCGAAAGCGGCACGCAACGCTCGCGCCGGGGCGGGTGTCACGGCTGTCGATGTGGCTGCACTCCAAGTCTAGATGGGAGGAGGCAGCGCTGGCGGCGCGCATCGTGCAGCCGCACTTCTGCGATGGCCGGAGGACGTCGATCGACAGTCGCTCTTGCGTTGCAGAGCAAACTTGGAGTAATTACGCGAGGAGGATTACTGTTGGTGGACGCCGCCGTCCGGCCGTGAACGAACGAAAGAATTTTACAACTCCACCCTCACGACACTGGTGAACGAAAGAATTTAACGAAAGAAAGTATCGTGCACCCAGCAGTGTGCAAGGTGCAACGCCCTCGCCGATCTGAAACTGAATGAAGCGATCTCTCCACCCCCCGACAGTGATCAATCAGTGTACTGCGCGTCAAAGCACCGGGCCCGAGTCCGCCCGCCCCCCCGGCGCGTGGCTTTTCTCTTTTCTTTTCCTAGTTAGTGTGCGCGATGTGTGCGCCCAGTCCAGCCGTTGTCGATGTGTCGTGCCAGGCGGAGTCTCTGACCGAGTGGCAGAGCGCTGTACCACGTGTACATGAGAAAGGGCCGGACACCACTGACACGGCCGGTCCGGGCACATTTGAACGCGACCAATACTGCGCACGGGGGACCTGTACCGACGTAAATCGTAATGTGTGTCGCGAGTCGAGTTCGATCGAACAAACAAGAGTTCGATCGAACAAAGTCTCGTGACCCCCCCCCCCCCCCGGCCCCCATGCCAAGCTCGCAAACGCGTCAGCGCGACGATGAATCAGAACGATACGAGCGTGGCGGCTCGGGCTGCGGCAGCAAGTCCTCGCCGAGCACGAGCGACATGCCCCCCGTAGCAGTGACGACGAGCCTGCGCGCGGCGCAGGGTGTATGCAAGGAGACCAAACCATGGCTGTGCGAGGATCGCAAGTGTTTTTCTGTGGAATTGTCTCTGTGGAATTGCTCATGCAGGGTCAGGCAGTCCCGGCACCTCCGCTCCCTTCGCCCGACCGGCGGCTGCTGCGGCGTGGCAAAGGCGCGCCCGTCGCTCACCACGGAGCTGCCGCACGTGCTACCAGCGCCTGCTCATTCACAATTCAATTTTCACAAGTGATGCCCATGCAAGCTGCCGCCGAGGTTGCCGTGCTGCCGCCGGTGCCGATTCCCCCGCCCGGCTCGACGAGCTGCAGCTGCCACCCGCCAGTGGGAGTGCGCACCTGACTCGCAGCGGGGGGGGGCGGGTGTGAAGAGACGAGGACTCACGGCTGAGGCCGCCGTGTCGCCCGTCCGAGACAGAGCACGAACCCCCGCTAGAGAGCTCTGCTGCTTCCGCTGCCGCCGCCGCCGCCGCCGCCGCCGCCGCCGCCGCCGCCGCTGCTGCTGCTACTTGCCGCTGCTACTGCAAGCTATCGTGCGCACCACCCTCCGCTCCTTGCCTTCGAGCGGGTCCTCCGCAGCCGGGCGGGGCTCCTCGGCGAACTCCTCGGCAGGGGACGGGCTGTCCCCGCCGCCCCCGGCCCCTCCACCCCCGCCTTTGCCTCCGCCGCCCCCACCGCCTCCACCGTCCCCGCCGCCCCCGCCGCCTTCGGCCGCTCTCGATGTGGGCAGAGGGGTGGTGGCGCTTCTGGAAGCGGCGGGCGAGGCGGGGGCCGGCCGCACGGCCAGCAAGAGCGGCCCTTTGCTCGCCAAGACGCTCGAG